TTTTGCGACTGCGAGTCAATAATTAACTCTAGACCTCTTACCTATGTGTCGGAAAATCCGAATGATTTAATCCCACTTTCCCCGGCCATGTTTCTCATCGAGAATCGTAGCTTAGGTGTTCCTGATGTTGATTTCTGCGATTCGAAAGGTCTTCGAAAAAGGGCTAGACATCGCCAAAAACTAGTTAATGATTTAAGGCATAGATTTAGAAAAGAATATTTAGGCCTTCTGGTTCAAAATAAGAAGAATCTATCGTCAGAGCTAAGGTTGGGTGAGATTGTTCTAATAGAAGATGACATCAAAAAACGGATGCATTGGCCTTTAGCTAAGGTCATTCGACTAATTCCTTGGAAAGATGGCAAGGTGAGAACTGTAGAACTAAAGACTCAAGCTGGTATGCTGCTTCGTCCCATTCAGCGAGTCTTTCCATTGGAAGTGCAGTTAACGGACAAACCCACTGATCCCATAAACGATAACTCCTTTACTAATCCTATTTCTTCTATTTCTAGTGATGAGCATTCAGATTCTAATGATTCTTCAAATGACTCTAGTAACATCCTGCAAGGTGCTAAAGTGTCAAGATTTGGACGTGTGATCAAGGTGCCTCAGAAATTGGATCTCTTCGACCAGGTACTGTATGTCTTTGAGCCAACCTGAAGTCAACTCAAAGAGGGGGAGAATGTTGGAGACGGCCGCTGCAGACAGACGATTACATAATGGCTCGGCGAAGGTCAACAGAAGGAGCGCCGCATCTGATTGGACTATTTTTATTATTCTTATTTTTTCTTTAATTGCGAACTAAGTGGGGAAATTCCCTTTTCACTCAGTTATATGTATGCACTAGTTAAAGTAATGTAACGTTTTCAGCTTGTGTGAGATATCCATATTAAATCTTTATATTAATAATCCCTGCTGTGATTATTTAATTTGCAACCTGCACGTTGTAGCCCTGTGAGTTGCAACACATATGTCAGACTTGGGAAAAGCCATGAAAGCAACCATGCGGTCAGTCTGTCCACGAAGATTCGAAAGCCGGACCGAACTAGGAGTGTTGAGTGAAATTACGACTTAATGATTGGTGAACTTGGTTTTTATATTTCAGAAGTGGGATAGAAAGCAGCAGTCGAAACAGCAAAACGATTTTATATTTAAAGAAATTGGAGCAGTGGTCAGACTGTTTTTAAAACCTATTGCGGACTACCAAACAAAAGAACTACCAACTTTTTTTTTTAAATCTTACATTTGTTTAATGTCTATAAATTTACATTTCTAGTAAATATGAAATCAGTTTTAATAAAATTTTATATAACAAAAAGAAACTGAAATTTAATTGTACATAAAAAAGAAATTGAAATTTAGTTAGTAATAGGTAAGAAATGTAATATCAGTTTTTTTTTAATTATACTTATTAATTTTAAAGCGAAGGATAGAACTTGCTTTTGTCATCAACAAGATTTTTAATGTTGAGAGATTAGGTAGTGGCTGCCATTTGAATACTGTTGTCCAAATGTTCATCATTGAGTCTGTTTCTGTACTTATTTTTAATAAATTTGATACTGGAAAAAGAATTCTCACACATATATCTAAAGTTAAATGCTGTCTTCACTTTGAGACAAACCTGAACCAAATTTGGGTATTTTTCTTTAGGAACAACAGGCCAAATATTATCAGAAGAAAGTAATTTTATAGGTAAATCATTTTGAAAATTAATCCATTCAACTCCAATGCAGGATAGTCTTTTTGAAAATCAAAATGCTTCATGACACAAGTAAGGAATTTTTCAGCATGAATTTCTATAAAAGAAGATTTTATGAACTGAGAAACACTTGAAATCTTGGAAGTGTTTGTTGAATTCACTTCTCAAATCTGAAATAATTTCAATGTATTTTTTGCATTATTTGTGCTTGTCAAAGGTTTGTTTTAAACAGATAAAGTGTTTGTATTCACCATGGATGATATTTTTCCCACACTTTCCATGATTTGGGGAATGAATCAAAATCTGAAATTTTTCCACCAATATCTTTATCCTTGACTTGAAGCTGCAAATGAAGAATAAATATCCTTGACTTAAATAATAAATATCAGAATAATAGCCACTACCTTTTTGGTGATGTCTGCGAGAAAAGCAAAATTTTGCAGCCAAACTGGATATTCGGCCCACCAGCGGCCGAGTGGTAAAAGCCGCTGAAAACTGGTAGTTCGATCCAGGGTTTTTGTCCCAGCGAATGGGCTGGCTGCATGGGCGTTTTCGTGGCTTTCCCCATGTGTAATGTGGATACAAGCCAGTTTCCCTTAAAAAGACCTCCACTGCGCATCCCTCCCTTTCCGTGTAGTGCCTAAGGGCGGAGCACGTAATAAGCAAGGAAAAAAAAAAAAAAAAAAAAAAGAAAAAACTGGATATTCTAGTTCACAGAAGGATCCATCTCTTTCTTGCAAAAATTCTACTAAGGCAGGAAGCAACTCTTGAAAAAACTGTAAAACTCTGCTTCTACTCAACCCAACAAACTTTAACTTTGGTATGAAGCACAAGATCACAATATTGGCAATCTAGTTCATCAGTCAGTGCTCTGAACAAACGTCTCTGAATTGCATGTATTCTAACTTTCTTCACTGTTTTTATTACTGTTTTCATTACATTGTTGATACTCAAAAACTTTCCAAAACAGCAACTTCTAGTGTATTACACAATGGTAAGACAGAAATTTCGGAAGGCTGTTGTCTTTACAACACAAGGTTATGAATCTCTTCTGTCTGCCTATCATTGCAGAAGCTTCATCAGTTGCTAAACCCATCAACTTATTTACAGAAATATTTTCAGAGTTGATAAAGCTTTTAACTCCTGGGTCATTCAACATAGCAGTCAGCAACACTAACCACTATACTGGTTGGGCAGCAGTATAAACTGTATATTTTGACATAGAAGAATCAGTATTTTTCCAATCTCAGCTTTATAAACGGCGGAAATGAATTTAATAAACAATGTTTTTTTTATTGAATTAATATGTACTTATTTTGGTTCTTGGAAATTTGACTATAACAAGCAGCTACATTTATTAACCAGCAGCAAGTTTCATAAGTATATACAGTACAAAGTCTGAAATCCGGAATGATCTAAAATCCAGACCTCAAAACCACCAAAACCATTTTTCTCGTAGGCTTTACACATGCGTATTTGATTCCCCTCTCTGCACATAATAAGACATCTGGAGAGTCCTGATTCTTAATTTCACTTCGACACTAAATAAAATACCTTGTTACTAACAATCATTTTAGCATAAATTTGTACGATCAGTAATTTGGCTCTGTTGCTGCGTATCTGCTCTGGCACACGTCTGAAACCGAAACATTCCACTAGATACATCGTTGATCTGATGCCAACCTGGTGAATCATTATTTATTATACTTTCCTCTCATCACCACATGTTTATCAAAATATGATAGCTTGAATAATGACTCATGTAGTGATGCCTAAACATTTTTTATGTTAATAAATAAATAACAAAGGAGTATGTATGGTAACCTTTTATGTTGATATTACGCTTGGCAATGATTACAGATTTAAGTTAAATGCTCTAAAAAATGTTGACGAGGAAAAATTTAACAAAAATTTCTTTCCATAAGATAAAAATAGATTCTGTTGATGATACTCATAGACCCAAAGATTACATTTAGTGCTATTTGAATTAAGAATAACACATTTGTTATTCACATAAACCCAGAACCAGCACCAGAGCTCGTACGGCTGCACTGAGTCACAGAATTTAGAACCCACACAGACAGCATCAGGCGGTAAGATATCTAGTACCAACCATCAATAAGGCTTAAGTATATGTAGGAATTTATTTATTCAAAACTCTGATAAGCCTTAAGCATGTGCAAGAAACAGACATAAGTATAATAAATACATAAACTAATACAATTCAGGCTTAACTCAGTGTGCAATAGAAGCAAGATAAAAAATTTAACGGAACAACTTGTCATTAGTCGCTAAGCTCATGATGCATAGCCAAATATGCACACTGAAGGACAGCTAAATTTTATGATGATAGCCACTAATTTTAAAGGTTTTCGGATATCGCAAAACAAAGGTGAAATTAAAGGATTTTTGTAAAGAAATGTGGAGAAACAGTAATAAATGAAGATGATACAAAAGAAGTTTTTCATTGTGATGGCAATGCTTCTCAATCATCAATCAATTAATGAATGGCGAAATCTGTAGTATGGTTATAGATCCAGAAAATACCGCTACCAAACTGAAGAAAGTGACAGAGAAGTTACTGAAAACGAGAAAATTTCGATTGTCAAGTTAGTCGGAATTCTCAAAAACAGCAGTTACAGGACTTCAACAATCTAACTGAATAAGAGATTATGTCTGGCTACAGAATTAAAGAGAAAGTATTAGCACAAGAAAACGAAGCAACTTAAACAACATACATTGAAAGAAATGTCTAATAAGGTAAACAAATAAATATTAAGGTTTTTTTTGATACCCTTTAGATCATAACTACTTCATTATTTCATAAATCATGATTTCATATTTTCAATTTTATACTTTATACATACCACCTTACTAGATTTAAACTGATGATCTAATCTAGAAAAATCCCAAATTCAGAATTGCCGAAGTCCCAACAAGTCCGGATTTTGGACTTTGTACTGTGTTTACACATGTATAGATTGAATTACATGATAATTTTTTTAAATATCTAACAAGTTCCAAAATTTATTTTAAAACTGCATTCTAACATAATACAGTGAAATCTCTCACATCAATAATGCCTCATTGATGATAACTTTTGAAAGTAATAAGCATTTCTGAAAACTTAAATATTGATATTGAATATCACCAATAGTACTCTTTAAGACAACCAACCACTTCACAATGTCCAAAATCATAAGCAAATGATGGTGATCTAAGTAAAATTTCATATATCTATATATATATATATACACGTTTTTTTGAAAGTACAGAAAAATAACATATTTAAATATATGCTTACTAATTTAACAAGACCTCTTTTTTCAAGAATGTCTTTGATTTCAAGTAAATACTTAGGATTAGTTATATCTCCGGTGTTATCTTTTCCAAAGTACCAATTTCTCAAAGTAGGAAATAAGAGCCGATCATCAACAATGATGTCTTTAACATTATGATCTTCATAATACGGGTTTAAAGTATTTGCAAACCATTCCCACTAAAAGAAATAAACAGTATTAAAAAAAGTGCAACAGAAAACATATATTGCTAAAGCATAATTTAACCACTAAATTTAAAAAAAAAAAAAAAAAAAAAAAAAAATGCCATGCTAGCAATAAACAGGAGAGCTAGAATAATATAAGCATTTTTAGAATTATAAATAATTTATCATAATTTCACAACTAATGATTAATTAATAATTTAATAATTCACAATCAACTGCCAATTAGCCAGGTAGTACCTAAAAAAAAGTTAAGTTTATTTACAGCAGAACAATGTATCACAAACAAGAAGAACAAAGAAAAATTTCTATGGGAAATACAAAAATGCATGAAATAATATCAGTGATAACAGACAATCTCAACATATTTAATTGCTTTTATCCACAACATTATGTAGTTTATTCGTTTATAATTTGCAATATATAAATATTGTTAATCTTTCCTTAAAAATAAATTGCTTTAAACTACTTGTATAACTTTCAAATAGAAATAATATTAATATTTTAATTTCATTAATTAAAATTGTTGAAATATCTATAAACCTAAATTTGAAAAAAATAACCTTGTAACCTAAACAGTTTTCTCATATCACAATTTGAATCTTTTCTTATAATTTGAATCCCAACGTTAAATTCTTGAAAAGAAAATTTTGAAACATTATAAAAATTAGTTTCAATCATAATTTATTTTCCAAACAGTAGATTATGATTTTAAACAACATTTTCCATAATAGACTGTTTCAGAAAAATATTTAATTAAATAAATGAAATATAATTTAACAAACTTTCTGCTTATATTTTAATATTACATAATGCTCGAAGTTCTTAATTACTTCTTGTGTGTTAAGTTTTTTCAACAGTGTTTTATAAATTCACACACATCTTAATCTGTTTAAAAGTAAGCATTTTGATTTAAAATTCTTCACTGAAGTATTTTGTTTTTTCACTTTAATAAAAATTCATAATTAAATCATTTTCGGTTTCAATTTTAATAAAATAGAATTCTCTTCTTTACTTAAGGTTTTTCTAATTATTCTTATTAGAAATTCTTTTTTTTTTTCCTTGCTTTGGGGAAGGGCCATAATTTTTGGGTGAACTATTGTAATTAAAATACATTGAAATGGTTCATCGGCTAATTCTGGATACAGAAAAGTGGGGATTGTTGTAGAAGAGAGAATTCAACTGATTTCAATATTCCTCCCCCCCCCCTCAATGAAGTAAGATTGAAGTTGGTTGAATTCCTCTTCTGTTTTTGTTCATTTTTCTTTAAATTTTCCTTAATTTTTTAAATGGGATTTTGCTTGTTTAAAGCGCATTGGTTTAAACTTTTTAAATTTCTTTGTTGCAATTATTTGAAATTTATTAATTATGAATTTCAGTATTTGTCTTTGTGAATTATTAGTTCTAAATTTCTTACTTTATGTCTTTAATGATAATTTTTTTCTGCAGCTTAATGCACGAAAACACTAGGCATATTTATAATTAATTTTCAAAAGAATTGTTTTGTAATTATAAAATATGATAAACAATGCAGTTAAAAGATACAGTTCTTTTATGAAACTACAAAAAGTACTTTTTTTGTAGATGAGAATTTTACAAACTGACCGTTTGATCTTATGGCAAATGACATGGAAGCAAAGCACACCAATGCAAAATTAAATAAAAATGTCTTTATTTATGTTTAAAATTAAATAAATTAATTACATTAAAATTCAATTAAAAACGAAATGAACACCACCTTTATACTGGCAGTGACTATATAACTGCCCGTAATATCAGAAAATCTACTACTCGGCATTTAAGTTTAAACATTGCATCCAACACTGAACTATTGTTTCACAACAAAATTTTGTATACAGAAGGCTTCACGAAAAAAAAAGCCTTTATCCTAGCAAACCAAGGTTATGTAACCTAATTGCACAATAAAAGAGAGACTGCTTTAACTGCTGCCAAGAACATCAGAAAGGGAGTGAAAAATCAATGGTCCCATGTTCTCTTTACTGATGAGTTTAGTTGAACATCTGATTCTAAATGCATTTACATAAGGATGGAGCCAGGTATGAAAAACCTTTCTTTGAGTATTATGAACTGTGGCCGTTTCGGTAATGCAGGCGTGATAGTACGGGGAGGAATCATGATCGATGGACAAACACCCCTACAGGTTTTCAATAGTGGATCTAAGACTGGCCAAAAATATTAGAATGAAGTCTTACAGCCTTACATAAGACATTTCAGAGATGCATATAGATCTGACTTTTTATTTACAGATGATGTCCATATTGAGCACATCTTGTTGACAAAATTCCTTAAAGTGAAGACTGTGGAAGAAGTTAAAACTTTGGCTAGCAAAATCTCCTGATGTTGATCCAAAACTTATCAATGTACACTGTGAAAAAAAAAAAAAAAAAAAAAAAAAAAAAAAAAAAGAGTTAGAGAGTTTTATATCGCCTGTTCTACTGGGCCGATTGACAAACTGCGTTTTTCATATATTGAAAGCGCGATTTAGGATGTATATTAGATTTATATATAACATTGTTCTAACATAGGTATTTTGACACAAAATTGGATTTTTTCTGAAATAAATTACCAATGTTTTACCATATTTCGATTCTAATACTCAAATTATGCTTAGATATTAAATTTTGTAAAATTTGGTGCCAAATTTATGGAGAAATTAAAAAATTTATCTTGGCAAAATTTTTTCAGTTTGGCCAAGAATAATTCACTTGGCCAACTTCTTAATATATGGCAACCAATTTTCCTTTCCCTTCCATTATGCCAGAGCAGAAAAAAAGGCACCTTGTTCCTACCTTTTTACATTGTGTATGAGCGGGGGAAAAGTCACATTGTTTCTACTTCCAAATAATTTTATCAAAGTGTTTAATCCACATCTGACATTTTATCACTTTCAACAAATATGCCAAATTTCAAAATAAGCCAATATATAAATTCACGTATATCTTCGGAAATTTTGAATAAAAAATTGTCATTTTTTGCAGGTATGCTTAGAAATACATCTACTTTAAGAAGATGGTAAAAATTTTATAGATTATAATTCAAATTTTTTTAAAACGTATAAAAATTATTTAAAAATACAAATTTTAAATAATAAAAATACAAATTTAATAAATCATAGAAAATGGGTGAATTTTATTTGGAATGAACCTGAATTTCGAAATGTGAAAGGAAGAATCAAATAAGCTTAATAAAAAAAGAGAGATTAATAAATATATACTAAATTCATTTAACATTGGGGAGCTAAAATTTTGAGAGCTAATTTTTTAAAAACTACTCGCGATTTTTATAAAACTTGGTAGTTTGGCGTAATTTGAGTCATAGAATCGAAATATGGAAAAAAATTGGTATGTTATTTCAGGAAAAGTCCCATTTTGTGTCAAAATACCTATATTAAAACAATGTTATATATAAATCTGATACATATCATAAATTGCGCTTTCGAGACATTGAAAATCCAAGTTGAATTTCGTAAATTGGCCCATTAGAATGGAAGATATAGAAATGTCCCCCCCTTTTTTTTGCGCTGTATACCTTGGAAAAGCAGTTGCATAGAGACATCCTCCTTCTAGAGATGTAAATACCCTGAAGAATGCTTTGTTGCAGCAGTGGAACTTAACTCCTTAAACTGCAGTTAACATTATTCCCAGCATGAAAATACATTGTGATATGTGTGTACAAGTCAGGAAAGGTCCTATTTCATATTAAATACATAAGCCTTGATTTTTCCTCAGTTATGTTTTTCCCCCTGAACTCTCCTTGTATCATATCAGAATTCTTATTGTTTCATGCTACAGTTTTATATCATATATACTGGTCTTCATTTTTTTCCTCTTTTTATGTATTATGATGTTATGTATAATTTCACACAAATTCATAAAATTAAAGTTCATGCTTTCTTAGAAATCCATGTTTTTATGCACATAAAAATAATTTCGAATACAATTTAAGAATTATAAATCATATTATTATTATTGTTTATATATTACAGCAGTGATTTTTAATTTACTTTTTTCCACTGATCTTCCCACCTCTCTGATTTCAAATTTATCACTCTCAATGTCATATGTTAGCCCCTGAAGATCTTTATTGACCACTACAAAGTTACCTGCTGCAGAGTATTTTTCACGGCATGCTTTTACATTGCTCATTTTACTGCAACAAGGTACCTTTTCATTGCACTTTGTATTTGAATAGCAAAACCTTACTAAGCATGCTTGCAGAATAATAAAATACTCAAATCTTGTGACTAAAAAAATACACATTTTCCACTGAACTTTTTATTTACTTAAGCTCAAACAGTGCTCTCCCGGCATCTGATTCTGGGGAATTCCTATATAAATAAAATAGAACGTACTACAGAAGACAGCGATTTTGTTTCCTGCAAGTAGGTAAAATCTTTTATATTACTCTTCCCAACACTAAAACAACCTGGGCCTTCCATTTTAAATGAACTTTTAATTATCCAAGACAAAATCAGTTTACACTGCCGCTGATAAAACAGATCCCATTATAGATAACTTATTTGACATTTAATCAAAATTCAATAAAATAACATGAATCTGAAACATTACCAAAAAATTTAACAAATCTACCATAATTATATGAATGTATGACTTTCTCTGATAAAAACAACTAAACACAATAAAAACTTTATGAACAACCTAACAATACTTAAAAAATACTTTAAGCTGATTCATCCCGAATATATATATGTGTGTGTGTGATATAGAATATTAATGAAAACTACTAATTTCAGCTCAGCAACAGTTGTTTTAATTTGGCTACATCCACTTCTTGTCTTAAAGCTATGAATCTAAATTTCGTCATCTAAAAACTAATCTGCTTAATATCATCTTATTAATTCTGCAATGCAGTTAGCTCTTACCCAATCACCATTCGGGTAAAAATATATTTACAGGTACCCTTTGGCGAAAATTGGTGGTACACGGATACTGAGTTTGTGCAATTCTTTGACTTATTATTTTGGCTTGTGTAGTGGCGATTTTTTTTTTTTTTTTTTTCTTTCCAAAAACAACTTGGCGATAATACAAGAGGTACCCTTCTCTAACTACTATTCAAAATTTAAACAATAAAATTAACTTCATAAATACCATTTGCTGAAATGCACACTTACTTTGAGTGCCTTCCTCTCACTGTGCTATGATGTGCTGTTGCATCGCCATCTGCTATCTAAAAAGTGTGACATGCTATGAGAAATTATGGGGTGTTCACATCCAAAATGATGCGTAATTGATGATAGGTATCAAAGAAAAATTAATGATGTACCAAGAATTTCCAAGAATAAATTTATGCATTATTTTGGTCACAACTGCTTGTGAATGTCTTCTTATGAATGTATGCATTAAAGCCTTCTAAAAAATTACAGATAAATATCTCATCTTCAACAGCTATGTTCGGTTAGAGTAGATTTAAGGGTCCCCCTTGTATTATCACAAAATTGTTGCTTCATTTATGGTACCCTGAGTAGTTGAAAACCGAGTAGTAGGGAAAAATTTTGTAAGGCTTTTGGTGTGTGTTGGTTAGGAAGTTCGTTGCTTGTTTTGTGGTTTAGACAGTAAAATGGCTGAATGTGGTAAGATTAATTTGAAGTTTCTGCATGATTTGCAATGAAAGTGGAAAACAGCATTAATTGACTGGTGTGTAAATGAAGGTTTACTCAATAGCCATTATAAGTGTCCTGTTTGAACAAAGGAAATGCGTATGGTCGAACGTCAGAAGATATCGGCACTACGGAAGATATTTTTATTCTTATTTTTGTGAATTTATGTGGTGATGCCAGTATACACATTCTAGTTCAGATAATTTTAGGAAGATTTTGGATGCTGTTACGGAATTTTATTTGACTGAAGACACGGAAATTTGTAAATAAGGTAAGTCGATATTTCCTTTGTGTAATGCTACGATGAATTTCATTTTTTATGTTATTTGATTGTTTGATTTAAAATGTAGTTTATAGAGATTATATATTTTTTTATTGAGGATTTATTTATTATATATTAAGATTATATATTCGCTGCTCCTTTGACTTTTTAAGTGAAAATAGATCAATGTATACATGGACAAAGTTAAAGGAGCACGAATGCAAGTTTGTGCAATTAACTTATTATTATTTTTTTTTTTAATGAAAATAGGTCGATGTGTACATGGATACTGAGTTTATGCAATTCTTTGACTTTTTATTTTGGCTTTGTGTAGTAGCAATTTTCGGCACAAAATTCCCCACTACACAAAGCAAAAATAACAAGTCAAAGAATTGCACAAACTCAGTATCCATGTACCCCAAAAAATCGCCAATTTCCGCTAAGGGGCACCCATAAATATATTTAAATATATTTTTACCCTATATTCTAATCAAGTCATCTACGAGAAATATTACATACATACAAACATTTATATATATATATTATATATATGAAAGAATAAGATCATTGTTGATTGAATTATTTCATGCTTTGAGTAGCGGTTACATAACATGCCAGAATGTTCTCGAAAGTACTGGTCTAGGGAGATGATCCTGAAATTGCTGAAGTTAATTAGTGGTTGCCTTTTCACGTGGAGCAAAGCCATCACATTTTTTATATTTTACGTATATAGTATATATTGTTTCATAAGAAACTAACATAAAGTTTAAATATTATATACAGTCAAAAGTCTTTAACATGGACTCATGGGGACTTCGGCGATTCCGGATTACAGATCATCAGTTTAAATCTGGTAAGATAGCATGCAGAAATTATAAAATTAAAAATATGAAATGGTAATTTATGAAATAAAGAGCAATTATGGTTTAAGGGTACCAAAATTTACAAAAAAAAGCTTAATATTTATTTGTTTACTTTATTAAACATTTCTTTCAACGCGCGCATACGCAAAGCATACATTACGCATAGTCGAAATTAGAAAATTGCAACCAGAAAACTATTTGATGTGTATTCTGATATTTATAATGACGAGGAATTTGATTTAAATCATATCAAAGATGGAGTACATCGAGATGAAATACTACATTTAGTAAGGAATTATAAGCTGAATAAAATAAAAATATCTGCTCTGAAGATGATGAGGATAGTGCTGACAGATCAACTTCCAGTTCATTGCGCGCCGCGACGTCACTCCCCCCCCCCTCCGCAGAGCAGACATAATTTCTTGTTCAGTTACAAAGTTCCACTGTTCAAGTCCTATAATTGCAATGTCGAGAATACCGACTAATTTGTCAAACGAAATTTTTTCGTTTTCAATAACCTCTGTGTCACTTTCTTCGCTATCGAAAGCGAATTATAATGATGAGGAATTTGATTTAAATCATATCAATGACTAAGTACATCGAGATGAAATACTACATTTAGTAAGGAATTATAAGCCAAATAAAATAAAAACATCTGCCCTGAAGATAAGGATAGTGCTGACAGATCAACTTCCAGTTCATTGCGTGCTGCGATGTCCTCCCCCCCACCCCCCGAGCAGAGCAGAGTGAAATTTATAAACAGATTTCGGAATGTTTAAAGAAACAAAGGATATGCCTTTATCCATTTGTTGCAGCAATTCCACTTTTTGTTTGATGGACATCAAAATATGCTTTCGTTTTGTAGATCCTTTGGCAGCTCCAGAATCGGAAATTCTTTTTGACATAATCGAAAGTTCAAGCTTACTTTTATAAAATTGCTCTAACAGTCTGCAAAAAATAATACGCTGGATCCAATTAGAAGATTAAGGAACAGTGCAATCTGCAACATTAACTGAATTAGAAAATTTTAGCTTAGCTTATATCGTCCATTATACATTAAACGTGCATGCGTAAACATACTATGCGCATGAGCACACGCATATTTGCAGCCGTAAAGGTCTTACGCGCATGCGCAGAAAGTTTGTGGCTTTGAGGTCCGGATTATAGATCATTCCGGATTATGGGTGTCCGAATTAAAGACTTTTGACTGTATATTGTTAATGCTTTTCTAACAAGAACCTTTTAGAGAATGGTAGGTGTGGCATAAATAACTGATTAAATTTTTAAAAAAATATTATTGATTATCTAAGATGATAGAATAGTTTGATGCATTCCCATGGTCATCAAAATTAGCAAACCACTGCTAGTGTAAGGAATACAGTACAAATGACTCTTCGTATATCACATTTAACCGGTTAGTTTTACATCTACATACTTATTATCTGTGAATTTTTACTACCATTTTCTGCTAACTTGAATTTACATACACTAAAAATCACATTTACAAAATATCACGTTTACGGCTCGGCTCATCGTGGGGAGTAAAAAAAAAATGCAATGGCGCCAACGGCTTCTTTCCCGAAGTGCCAACGGTTTCTCTGCGGATGAAACCAATTTGACATAATAATAATAATTCTGATCCAACTTAAAGCATTTAAGTAAATACATATTTAACAGTAATACAATTTGCGTAGATTGAGAACAAACACATTATAAAAAGATATTACAAATATCTTACTGAAATATCAGGATACTTCAAGAATAAATAATAATTTAAAGCACTGATAAAAGCCCCCGGAGCTTCACACAAATGAAAGGATTTAAATATTAAACTTTCAGATGGGACCAGTTCATAACTAGACAATATTTCAAAAAATTTACACCAAGCTTGAGTTAAAATCTCTAGGCGAATTCTATCCTTGATGTAGGGAATGACTAAAGCAGCTTTGTTAACATTTGACGTATGCTTCTGCCAGAGTTCACCTTTATCATTTAACAAGGATTTAACGTTGTTCAAAACTTCTTTCATTGTCATAAAATGTTCGTCCCGCCAAGCAGAATCTTTGAAAAGTGAATCGATAGATGGCAGAACCCATTCATCATTCTTAACGAAAGTAAATTTCTTTTCAAAATAGGGTTCAAAATTTTCATTTGTATTCATCCTCAAGAGAAGAGAGAAAAATAAATAAATAAATATATAAAAATCTTCCTAAATTGATATCTTTATTTTACTTTGAAAATTCGATTAATTATAAAGCCATCAAAGTAAGACGAATACCACGATAAAGTTTTGATATCTTTTAAATTCGACATAAAATAAACTATAAAAGTGAAAACTCAAACATAAAAACACAAGCGAAGAAACGCAACTTATTTTGCACAATTTAAGTCTTACACCCGCAATAATTATAACTTCAACTATAACTTTTATGGAGTGTGCACCACGTGTTGCAATAAAATTACCATTCTTCAATAAATACGAAGATCAGAATATTATTCTCAAATTTATGCAAACTAAACTATACTCTCTTCGTATATACTAAAAATCTAAAAATATACTTAATCTTTATCTAATATCTTAATTTGCAATATGACAGTAATTCTCAATCATCGTCACAATATATTTTGACTGCTAATATGCGCAGAATGCCTATGGAACTTTTTTTTATGTATATATTTGAATCTCGCACTGAGTTTCATTGAGCACAAAGTTTTCTCATTTTATAACTGAGACTCCAAGAGAGAAGTTTTACCTGATCCTCCCAGGCGTTTCGCCTCTCATCTCCTTTGCGCCCCTAATTTTGTAACCTGAACAGTCTGCATGAAATGACTGCAGTCTCAAAGTAGAAACAATTAAAGATTATATTCAAAAACTTGTCAGAAATTTCTTCTATTAATTCTCACTCATCTTAACCACTGCACCAGCTCTCTTAGATGTTCTCTTTTTCCCAGAGAAAAGCATAAATATTCATCTGACATTGTCCATCCCCAACATTTTTTACTCATACTACATTCTTCAGCTGCTTCCTGATTTGGACCTTCGAACAGAAACTCACCTTGTTCGTCGACTGATGGCAACCACTTGACTTTATCTTTCTTTTTTTTGTTTTACCGATGTTCTTCACCTGATACAGAGTAAAAAGAGGAACTGTATTCCGAAACTCAATTTCACTATATGTTTCTTAGTAGTAGTACATACATGACTTGAATCTGCCATTTTTTATGTAGGTTCATATATAATAATTTTTCGTCTTTATTCCTGTTTTGTTTGTACATGTGCCTAGGCACAATGATATATTGTCTCTCATTATTGAACAGTAGACTTATAATTTTGTAAATGCTTTCTCCATCTTACGTATTCTAGTCTTTTTTCGGATATTCTTCGGAGAACAGCCATGGTTAGAGCTATATGAGCATTTCTAATATTAACGTATCAACTTATGGTCTCGGAACCCAGGTACCCTGGTGTTAGGACACCGTTTTATATTGGACCAATGTTTTATCCAAGGAGGTTAGAATAGACCTACTCTTCTAACCTCCTTGTTTTTATCAAGTTATCGATTACTTTTCCAGGATTTTCAGCATTCCTTTCCTTTTTATCTTTGAAAACAGATTTGTGTTTAGTTGTTCTCAAAATAATTAGCGTTTTATTTAGAAGCAAAGATTTTTATTTTTCTTATAATTTTTAGCTGAAAGGAGCATTAAGTCCAGAAGGGTTATTAGTCTCAAAACAAAATTTGTTTCGTTGAAACACTAGAAAAGTATGAATCATTATTTATTTATTTATTTATTTGATTATCTGATTTGATTTATTTGATTTGATGGGATAACAACTATATTTAATTAATTTTATTATTTCCCTGTACACTTTTCAAGAGATTTTGGTAGTTTGAAATTTAATATTTTCCTTTTTTGAAGCTAAGTAATTTCAAACAACAGTTTTAAGTAAGTAAAATTATTAATTAATTAAGTTATGGGTGAAAGCACTCCTGCATTTTCTAAACTGTTATATGTTTTGGCGGCAATGAGTATATGTGAAATTGTGTATAGTTTGTGTTTTCGTTATTTGGATGTTCTATATTTCCTAAGTGATATATTATGATGTATTAGGTTAGTAAAGTTTTATAAAAAGCAGTCGTTAAATATCATAATACATTGAGGATTGTGCTGAAAATGCAAAATATTCTTTTTTCCCTCTATTGACATCTACCACATGAAATTTTTTTTCTTATACATGTGGCTTTTAATGCTGTATAGTTAAATTTGAAAATTCTAAGTGGCATTTCCTAACCTTTTTGTGTTTAGATTTTTTTTTTTTTTTTAAATTTTTAGGAGAAATTTGAGAAGTCCAATTTGATCATGCCAAACTAAATTACATAATTTTCTTCTTTTTTATTTAATGCTAAATAGTCTTATTATTTATCTGGAATTATTTTATGTAATATAAAATTGCAGAAATCTATTATACGAAGTCATTTTATTCATAACGATAGTTTTTATTGATCTTCTTAGGAGTTGCGTTTTTATTGTTGAACTGTTGTTTTATGTGGCTTAATGGAAGCATATTTACCATCTGAAGTAGCTCGATTAGTTTTAGGTAAGAAACCATCTGTATTCTTGTCATTCATTTTAAATAACGTTCGATATGCAAAATTAATTATTGAAACATGCATTTGAAACTTTAAAACAATTTTTATTATAATTTTAGTGTATTGACTTTTATTTAAAAAGGTTATTTAGAGGAAGTTAAATGTACCAATACCTGGGAAACATTTTTGGTGGAAAGCCCTCATTTACAAGAATATTACCAATTGCACCAGCAAGGAATAAAGTATGCTGCAAATATTAATGGAAAATCTCTTTTAGGAATCCTTCAGGAATATCGATGCTTAATAGGTAAGATCATATTCTCAATTATAGTTGATCTCATTCTTATAGATTTTGTTTTTCTCAATTAAAAACATCAAGAGTAATTGTATTATTTAATGCTATTCATAAATGCGAGAGTTCTTAAATTTAAAAATATGTTGCATAGATTCATGGACTATCCATTGAAAAATAAATGCTTCCAAAATTATACTTTTTTTATGTTAAGTTTATTTTTGTAAGAGTGTGTAATACATATTGTAAGAATATATATAAGAATATGTATTTTGTAAGAATATGTAATGTATACTAGCATCACCACATAAATTCACAAAAATAAAAGTGAAAAATATCCTCCATAGTGCCAGTATCGTCCAACGTTTGACTATACGCATTTTCTTCCTACAAACAGGACACTTAATAATGGCCACTAAGTAAACCTTCACGGTTGATCTTTACAATATGGTAACTGATAGTTTAGCGACATTTTGGAGGCGATAAAGGTTACTACCTGGGACTTTGGTAATAATGTGAGCAGTACTCAGTTCCGATTACGCATTATTTTGTGTGGGGGAAATGAGAGATCATGGGATATGTCATGTGATATTAATGGACGAATTACTGTTCTCTAATCGGGAAAAAATCTGGCAATTTTGTATTTGGCTTTATTCTGTGTTGTGTGAAATAGTGTTTGTGAATTTTTGGATCCCATGACCGTAACTAAAGTGAATTCGAAATGGGTATTTAGTGGTATTGAAAAGGATAGTAATAAATGTTTTTTAAGGTTGTGCGAGAGAGAGAATAAGATGTTTATTATGTTATTTATTTTACCTGGTATCTTGCTTTGAAAGATAAGTATATTTTAAAGATTCTGAAACAGAAGGAAGAAAAGTGTATCCGCCCGTAATCAGATTCTGAAGAAGATTAGGTAAGTTAGTATTTTTAATTATTGAGGATATTATTTATGCATTGTCGTAAATGTAAGGTGGAAAGGAATTTGGTATTATTGGGAAAATTGTTATTAGCAATGATTTAGTTTAAAGTAATTAGGATTGTAAGGTAATTTTTATTAATTTAAGTATGTGCTCATTTATATTTTAAGTAGTGTTTTTGAATTTAATTATATTTTAATGAAATGATAGTTATTTTGTGAATTTTATGTTTGTAGGAATTTGGTATACGTTTAAGTTGAAATAAACGTGTATGGAAATAATTTAAGTATTTGTAATGCTTGCGGTATGAATTCATTGGTGACGCGTATAATGTAATAGATGATTTAGAGATAAAAGTTTTTGGATATTCTATTTATTTTATATGTGGAAATGTTGATATTTGTAAAGGGTAAATACTACTTTTTCGCGATCATGTAATTTCATATGTTCTTTTTACCGGGTTTAAAGATTGAGAAAATTGTCATGTATTTTCGTGAAAATTTTTTTTAATTTATGAGAAAAAAGCAGTGTACATGGATATAGTGAAGAGTGTGCGCAATGCCATTTTTGTGCAATTCTGGGATGTTTTTTTAAGTAAAAATAAGTCGGCGTGTACATGGTTTATGTGTATGTGTTATTTTGAAAAATGCGTAAGGAGGATGGTATTGTGCAGTTTTTTCCTAATTTGCAGTGAATATTTGTCATGATTAAGCAGTTTTTGTTTGATAAATTTCTAGCATAAGTGTAATTCGGCTAGTAGATTGTTGGAAGAAGTGTTCAGGAGATAAAAAGAAAAGAAACATGTCTTTACTTCGTGAAAACAAAATGGCGGCGTGGAAAAAAAATAGAGGGTTGCTGTAGGAGAGTTGGTCGCCAAATTTTCGCCAAAAAATCGCCAAGTTTCCATAATGTAAAGATCAACCACCTTCACTTACACATCAGTCAATTAATGCTTTTTTCCTTTTTGTTTTAAATTTTACAGAAACTTCAAATTAATCATGCTACTTTCAACCATTTTCCCATGCAAACCACAAAATAATAGCATACTTCCTAACCAGCATTCAGCATGCATAAGTCCTTACCCCAAATCCGACACAAGCTTTCCAAACCTTTTTCCGTCATTCAAATTCACCTCAACCAATTATGTTATTATAGGGTTTCCATAGCATTCAACTACTCAGGTTACCATAAATGAGACAATAACTTGGGGATAAATGAATTAACAGCTTAACGATAATCCAAGAGGCATCCTTAAATCTACTCTAACCAAATAATTTTTTTTAGTGTAAGTTTTGAATGAAACTCTTATAAATTTTGAGGGCGATCAGACACAATTCCCTGTTCTTCATGCGAAACAAAAATTGTTTGCTTCTTTCTCGTCTGATCACACTAGTAATCAATAGCATTTTATTCAAAATCATATTATAAAACACCAAAATAAAGTTATTTTCTGTGTTTAAGTATATAAAGAATATGAAGTTGTCTTTGAACCATTAAGTGGTATATTTTTAAGATTTAAAGCCTTAGAAACTTTAAGAAGGATTAATATTAATGATTTCTCACAATCCAGTGATTTGACATACTGCTCTTATACTAGGGACAGTGGCGTCATACGAAATTAAATTGTGAAGATGAAGAGTTTTTACTGTAGGTAAAGTATTCAAAGAAATCACCATGTGAATTCGCAGCCACATATTTTTATTATACCTTTCTTTATTCCATCGAAACTTTTGAATGCAAATTACGAATGTCAACTAAATTATGATCCCAGTGACATTAATTGCAGTTTATTATAAAATACAGTCATCTGAACAAAGTTGCAAGTTTGCTAACTTTTCTGTCAGTCAGTGAAAGTATTGCTAGTTGCTGCATTGTGTAGGCCGAACATCATGAATGGGAACTCGGATAAACCGAAAGTTATGAGAATTGCTGTTTTGAGTATATCTTCCTCACAAACCAGAATTTGTTGATACACTGTAAAGTGGTCTTAAATGAGAAAACTATTGTTCCCACTAATATATAACTGCAATGTGTTAAAAATGGAAGAGGGTGTCTATCGGGAATCGTGATATTGTGTAACGCTCGATAGTCCCCCCCCAAAGCCTTCAGTCACTTGATTTCTTTATAGCAGGATATAGTGGGCTCGAGCAATAACTCTTGGATGGTCTACATAAACTTTTTTGGATCCATTAATTCCTTTTTAGTTGCTTTTATTTAACTCCTTTTTAGTTGCTTTGAGATTTTTTGCCAATAACCTCCTAGCTTTAGGGAAAATAGGTGGGTGGACCTTTGGTTTCGATTTTATCATTTTGAACTTTATTGTTAATATTGTTTAGTTTTAGCAAATTCCGGAAATTGATAATAATATTTTATATGGATCATGTGTGGCATTTTAAATTAGAATATTATTATTTTGAAAACAAGGTGTTCCATTAATTGTTAACAATGCAGTGTCATCAATCAACTTGCAATTTTTGGAATCTATGCAAAAGGTTAAAATTTTGCTAGGAAATCCATTTGCTAGGTCTGTTCACTTCTGCAATTACAAAGAGCCACTTGAATGATGTTCTGAGTCCAAGATCAAGCTTAGTAGGTTTTTGCCATATGTTTTGATTTTTGTGCCATTTGAAGCAAATGTTTCTAATTTTGAGACAGCTGTTTTATCTGCATTTAATGGAAGAATAACAAATAATTCTGCCTTTGCATCAATTCAGGGGCATAGCTAGAGGGGGTCAAGGGGGAACATCTGTCCCTGGGCGCAGAATCCAAGGGGCGCCAAATTGATGTTACGACATTTTAGAATTAAATGTTTTCCATCCTTAGCAAGCAGTAGGGGGCACGAAATCTTCAGTTGCCCCTGGGCGCTGAAAACCCTAGCTACGACTCTGCATCTATTAAAAACTAAGTAACTGATTCTTTGTCGCTGATGTAAAGATGATTCAGCTCTACCATTTGTCAATGAGAGACGAGAGCTTTGTTTTTCGAGGTGTTTGTCTGGACTCCTGATGAGAAGTTACACGGTTGTTTACACTTAAATGACTTGTTGCTGAATTTTTTGTGTTAGCAACAGGTATTACTAGATTTGTTCCACCGTAACTTCTATCTCTTGATTTGGATCGAGAACGGCAATAATAAATCTCTGGATAAACTAAAAACTTATACACTAAGTTCACTGACCTGTTTTTATAAGCTTTCAATCAGTCCTGTGTTTATTGTTAGACGAGGTTGCAGCTATTTGGGGAGTAATAGAATTTAATTCCCAAATCTTATCAGCCGTTGTCGCCACCTTCGACAAATCCTCGCCACTAACAGGTAGAATGCTGCCTATAGTAACAGGTAGAGGTTGGAGCCTAATTATCTTTAGAAAGGTATCTGCTACTTTGATGCCTGCCAGATTACACATTTCGCACAGCAGCTGAGATGGTTTTTTTATTGCTGAATTCTCCTTGACTCGGTAGTTTTTGAGTCTGCATATAATGTAATTACTTTGTCCTTAATTGCCTGATGTTTACCATCTTTTGGTGGATTAAGCAAAATATCAAATATGTGTGACAAAATATCAGGTTAATGGAACTTATCACACAATCATGCTTTGTTTGGACAACAGTTATTTTTCATTTCTAAATTGTGCTGCTAGTTGATGGAACCATATTTTTGGATCAGGTTTCTAAAAATAATGAACCTTAACACTTACTCTGACAACAGTCATGGTTGTTGCATTAGCTTCTGTTACTTTACTTTCATTGTCGTCAGACATAGTAGAGTTAGGCATAACATTGGTTTTAGAATTAGGCTTTAACATATTTACAATTACTGTTATCCAGTTTTATTTTATTTTTTACACCTTAAACTTTCCATGAAAAGTTAAACTAGTTCCTTTTTCACATATTAAACTTTCCATGCTTAAGATTTACAACCATAAAGAACTGATTTATTTTGTGCAATATCAACTATATCATTAATAGCATTCAAGTAAAGCAGCATTTTTAGTACAATATATAGAAGAGAATTTTAATTACTAGAAAGCTGTCATGCAGTTTCTTTTTCTTGCATTTTATGGTTGGATAATAAATCATTTAACTGAAAATTGTTTGATTA